TTTGTCCTAAATATCCTCTACGTGTTCTGAAATATCAACCATAATCTTCTTGAAACTCTTCTGGGAGCGCTTCAACTCTCTAATTTTATATTGAGCTGCAATTAAAGTAGAGCTCTGTACCTTGAATTCTGCGCGTAGTACTTTGAACTCTTCCAAAACCGTTTGCAGAAGATTGAGTATCAAATTGTCTTGAGACGCCATCATGTGAATACCTCTCAAAAACTCGAGACTAAAATATGTTTCACCTTCCACCTCCAAACTGCGTTTGGTCTTCAACTTTGCGCACTTGCGCTCCCTACCTAGCTCCAAGCTCCCACAAAGTTTCAAGTCCAAAGCAAACTCCAGCCCGAAGTTACAACCCCTCCAAGATTCAACCCTTCCCTCTCAAAAAGCTCAGAATTCTCAAAAAGCTCAGACGTCAACTTCTTGCTCCGAATGGCGTTCAGCCTGAGATTTTGCAGGCTCTTGAGCCCTGCCCTACTCCAGCGTTCCAGCAAATTTCAGCTCCAGATCACTCCCAACGTCAAAGATACAGCTCCCGTAAGAATCTCTTGCCCTCAAATCTTGAAACTCAAATCTCAAAACTCAAAATTGGACCCACTGTGACTCTGAATCTCCGTTCAATCTGAAAATTGAAAAGCTTGAGCGCTCTATTCAACGTCACAATGCAACAAAATTTCAGCCCCCGTTCACACTCCAGCGCAAAGTTACGGCCCCTGCAAGATTCGGCCCTCCCCTCTCAAAAAGCTCAGACCTCCAAGACATGTTAACTTCTTGCTCCGAATGGCGTTTGGCCTGAGATTTTGCAGGCTTGTGCGTCCAACCCTATTCCAGCGTTCCACCAAATTTCAGCTCCAGATCACTTCCATCGTCGAAGATACAGCTCCCATAAGAATCTTTTGACCTCAAATCTTGAAACTCAAAGCTCAAAACTCAAAATTGGACTCACTCTGACTCTGAAACTCCGTTTGATGTGAAAATTGAAGATACAGCTCCCATAAGAATCTTTTGACCTCAAATCTTGAAACTCAAAGCTCAAAACTCAAAATTGGACGCACTCTGACTCTGAAACTCCGTTTGATGTGAAAATTGACAAGCTTGAGCGTTCTACCCAACGTCACAATGCCACAAAATTTTAGCTCCCGTTTACACTCGAGCTCAAAGTTACGGCCCCTGCAAGATTTGGCCCTCCCCTCTCAAAAAGCTCAGACCTCCAAGACACGTCAACTTCTTCCTCCGAATGGCGTTCAGCCTGAGATTTTGCAAGATCGTGCGCCTTGCCCTACTCGAGCGTTCCATTAAATTTCAGCTTCAGATCACTTCCAACGTCGAAGATACAGTTCCCGTAAGAATCTCTTGCCCTCAAATCTTGAAACTCAAATTTGGACGCACTCTAACTCTGAAACTCAATCAAGCATGGTATGACCATATAATGATACATCTATCACAGTGAAACATAAATTTGCAAAAATAAATGATAAAAAGTAAATAAAATATATAAGAGGATTAAACTTTTGAAAAGTAAATAGGGATTGTTTTCATTTATAATCTATGTATGATTTTAAAAATTAATAATTTTATCATTAAAGACATTGTAAGATCATGAATCATTGTCAAAATCAAAATCAATCGATCATCAAAATTTTCTATCTTTAAAATTCATTTTTATCAAGATCTATTTAACATATTTGACAACTCTTTGCAATAAAAACCTTTGCTCAATAGCTTTGAACAATGTTATATAACAATCATGTTATCTGTTTATTTTATAATAAAAGATTATAAGTGTAATAGAATCATATTCATAGCTTGTTTTTGAAAAAAATTTCTAGTTTTTGTTGTTAAATGTACAGGGTGTAGGTCTCAATATCATGATATATCCTAAAATTTTGAATTTATCTTTGACATATTTGTTCCATGATTAGTTTCATCAATTTCATGATACTTGATGAATGTCAAAGATAGACTTTCATTTTTTGGTTTTGTCAAATTCTTTAAAATGATTCACTTTGTTGTTTGATCAACATATGCTCTTTTTCACTCGTTTAATCAACTAAGATAACATGTGAGTGAATTATAAATTGCAATTATCAGCATTAAAACAATGATCATTGCAACTTAAAAAAAACATTTTTGGAATAATATACTACGTTCTATACTTTAAATCTGAGGTCAATTTAAAATAAAATTTGTCACAAGCACCGGCGATGATTATTTCCATATAAGAAAATTTTAGAATCATTTTGGTGTTTGATAATAATCTTATCGTAGTAACTAATTAGAACCTGATGAAACTCGTAGACAGAAGCTTATGTTAATATAAGTCTTTACTGAAAAACAAAGATATAAAAACTCATGAACATAATATATATCAAAATTTATTCCAGTGAAAATAATATTTAAAATTTTCATATATTGAGAAAATATTTATTACTTTTTATTTAAAATTTTGAAAATTTATTATCAAAATATTTATTTCTTATGGATTTTTCCAAATTTTTAACATATATATTTATGTTTTTGATATTTTTTTACGAAAGAATTTTTACAAAAAATTGCTTAATATTTATTAGAAAGCTTTTGGAAAGAATCAACGAAAAGTTTTATAATTTTTTGATCTAAAAACATTAGTTAAGATCAATATATATATGAAATAAGATTTCAAAATATGCAAAGTATACTAAATATTCATTAAAAAATTCCTATGAAAAAATTGATGTTATTATCAATTTTTTTGATAATATCATAAAATGGAATTTTCCACTTTTTTATAATTTTAAACAGTTTTAGAAGGTTTTGATATCATTATTTCGGAAATTTGAGTTTTTTAATGTTGTATGTGAATTCACGTATTGATATACAAAAGGATAGGATGTGTAATATAAAAAATGAGTTTTAAAATAAATACTAATAATCTAGTATCCTTTTATATGTGGGAAAAAAATTAATTAAAAGATAAACTGTACTTTGGAATAAATGGATGTCAACAAAAGTCAATGAGTCTCTTCAAAATTAAAAAAATAAATTTGTATGAATAATCATCAAATATATTTGCAACATTCGCATGCAAGAGATCCAAGTGCAAACTGAATTTTAGAATCATTGTTATGTCCAACAATACAGTTTCACATTCTATTTGTAAAATTACTCCAAAGTGGTGTGAAAAAAAATGATGATGGAAAGTAAAACGATTTGAAATATCACAATAGACATTATACATCTTCAATAGCAAGTGATCATCAATCAATAGTCAATGCTTCTGTTAGGGACGCGACATACACAATATAGTGGTGGCTCTGACTCTTTATAACTTTGAAGCTACTAGTAACGTACTAGTAGTATATATAGTAGTCTCAGATGATTGTCTCTCACTCTTGTCAACTCCAGTTGTGCACACTGTTCAAGTTCTTATTACTACTGCCAGTTTTTTTACTTCAGCGTTATTCCGAATCTTGTGAGAGGGATCTCCTCGCTTCTGATCTATTTAGTCTTTCTTCAAGGTAACCTCTCAAGCTGGTGTTTTGTTGTTTCATAAATTGCCGTCCGGCAACAGCTTCCTTCTCTACTTAAAGAGATTCATTAGCTATAATTTACTCTATAAAATTTTGACTTTCTCAACCATATGGGACATTTTTGTGAAAACAATTCTGTACAGTTTGATTTAAAAAAACTCTGAAATGCTCATAAATTATCAATAAAAATCCTCTTGAGGATAAAATTTGAGGTTGAAAATATATAATGAGAAAAAAAAAGTAAAAAAAAAAGTATATATGAGCCATAACGATACAGTGACTAATAATCAAACTACTATCTTCTTCATAGATGGATGTAAAAATAGTAACAAGAAAAGAAGAATCTAAATAAATATATGTACAGAATACAATAAACAAATCATATGCTCATCAGCTTCGGAAAAAATGCAAAAGTCTATTTTTTTAAGTTACAGATTACAATCGCATTGGTTATTAAAGATAATTATTTCAAACTTTTGAAGGAACTAAACAAATTGAATTAAATATTTTATTCCAAATGGATGAGCAATGATTCTAACAGTTGTAGAGTGAAAATAAAAAATAAACTAAAAAGAAAAGAAATTGAAAATCTTTGGTTTTGATTTTGGAGTTTGTTTATTTTGTGGTAATTGTGTTGAGTATTGTACTACAAATTGCAATCTAGTACAATCTCATATCCAACATCTTTGAGATCTAGCTACCTCTTTTTTATAAAAAAGCCTTCTAGAATATAGACATCATTGCGGTAAGAGAAATAAAGAGCAATTTGATCCATACATGAGATCACAGGCCAACTGATCGAACCAAAAGTCAAAATGTCTAGCACATGGATAAACAGTGGAATCTAACATTTTTAATTCAGTAGCTAATCTAGGGATGTTAGGTATGAGTAACTCAAATAAATAACCAGAAAGAATCCTAATTTCACTCTAAACTTTCAGCAAAGTATATCTCAATATAGATGGAAAGCACTAACCTACTTCTGAACTAATTGTAACTCTCCCCCCATCCCTCCCCTAACTTCTAATGTTGTCCATAGTATTTCCACACATAGCCCTCTCATAACTTACTAAAAATTCAGAGACTAGATTCCAAGAAAAGATGATGTTTCTACATTATTAGTTGGTACAAAACGATTGGATAAGTAATATGCATGCGTACAATCCTTCCAGACGCTTGGCATGAGAAAGATACATCCGAAATTGAAGTCGACGTCAAGTACCGACTTTTGGAGCTATGCGCTATTCAACTCTCTATATCAAAAGGATTCTGAAAAATAGGGGCCAATCCGTTATCATTGCAGAGCAAAGGAAAAATGCGTTAATGATCACTTCGCTTCAAGTCTCCAACGCAAGTCGGGATGAACTTCTCATTCTTGGCATAGCTTGCACGAGAGTGCAAGGATTAGCGAGTGCCAGGATGACTAGTTAGCGTTGACAGCAGGCCTGGAAAGACGTCTCTGTTTGTTTCATGCCGTGCTTGTCTTTGGGACCATTTGTGTTGAGGAGTTCAAAATTCTCTTTCCTTGCCAAATGTGCGAAGAGAAGAAAGAAAGGGAAGGAAGCGATGTGGCGATTCAGACACGATGGATGCGACGCTTGTCTTCTCAGTCTACGCACTTTAGTAGAAGTGTGGGTTGATTTGCCGCTTTGTCTCGGTTTGAGGAGACACGACAAAGACAAGTGCAGGGAGCTCTTCAGACTGAGAAGTAATGAATAGATATATGCTTCACCTTCTTCTTCTCATCCGCTATGGAGCTTGGAAACGGCTAGAAACGATCAAAACGAGACTGCGACAGAGAGGAACAGTGTGCGCAATAACTATGAGTGTCCTGAATCAGTTAGACGTGGTCTGGTCGATCGTTTGTACAGAGAAGTCGTTGATGCCACTGCAACTTCAACATGAAATTTGCCTCGTCTGAAACGGCTAGGAACGAAACGAATCGAAGCGAAGCGTATCAATCAAGCAACCAATCAACACAACAACACAGCGCGATCAATCTTGTCAACATGGCCGCGGTACAATCATCTGTCAGTCAGTAGTCAGGCAGTCTTCCTGGTAGTTGTCGTTAGCGCCCATCCATGACAAGGCTTGTGGCTGAAGCTTTGTGCCCGTATGTATTTTTTCATGTTGTCTGCTGACATCCAGTGGTTCGGTGCATGGCTTTCACTGCTCATGCAAGGCCCTGAAATTAGTCATATAAATCACTACTCTTCTCAGTTCGTAAGAACAGGAGTGGAATTTGGAAGAAGCTCGGATTGTCCAGATTGTTTTCTTTATTCCAGATTCGCCATGGAATTCTGCCGGGCCAGAATTGAATATCTTGCGCTTCTACTCGTGCTTAATCTCGTCATGTCACAAAATTCAGTGACAGCTTGGACATGGAGATTGTGGTCTGGGGAAAGTATCAGTGGAGACGAAATGGGATCAGATCCCAAATCGTTCGCAGATGAGCTCGAGGAGCCGCCACCGTCGATGCGGACGGCAAGGCTCAGTACTTCGAAATTCGATATAGATACAACGATGATTTTGGGGTCTCAGAATCCGAGAGGACGGCAATTTGTGGAGAGATCCACGTCTTTGATGTCGGAGCATTCTTGCTGGCAGCTTGCGTACTCCGGTATGTTTAAAAGTTGTAGGGATATCTTGAAAGATGAGGATCGAAAGTCCAGACTCGCGCTCAGGTTGACGGATTGTTTTCTCAAGACTTCAGGACGTTGTGGTATCAAGAAGTGTGCAGACTCTGCCCCTGTGACCAAGTGCGTGAAGGAGCTAGACGATCACACCCACGCAATATTTCTCGCCTTCTTCATTGACGCCGCATCAATGTGCCACTATCTCCAGTAAGTGCTTCATCGACTCTTCCTATCACACGACTCTGACGACCACGATTATTGTCGCGGTGGACTCTTTCTCTACTTCTGGCAAGCCTGAAATTTGTAATATGAATTATTTTTTTGTAGTGAAGTCCCTCCTGTACATCTGGAATTTGACGCCTTTTGCTCTTAAATCAGAGGTTAGCGCTTTTGAGAATGATTTAGTGAAGGCTGAAAGAATGAATAAGTAGCGTAGACTTCTCATCTCTTGAAGTACAACATGTCAGTCCACGGTTTTTACATATACCAGCTTGCAGCTATGATTGAAAGACATATGAGTGGATTACGGAATCGATTCTTTGTATAGTAGAGGATACTGAACCATTTATATTCGATTGTTGACACTCGGCAGAAGTCAGGAATTCAAGCTTGAAACCGAGAAGCTGGTTAACGAGCTGAAGCAGAGCGCTCATACCATGGAAAATAAATTGGGTTCCATGAACGAGCAGCTGGATATTCAACATTCTGCTGTCATAGAGCATTCAGAAAGTATACTGGAAGCTCAGAGAAGACTGCAGCATGAGCATGCAGAGCTGCAGCTGAGTATAGAGCAAGGGATGCAGCATCTTCAAGAGGCAGCTAATGAAGCCCAACGCCAACTGGACTTCGTTGGGAGGATTCAAAAGGATATTGCCCAGAAGCAGCAACTCCTGGCAGACAAGCTGGCCACAGAATTATCAGATCTACAAAGCAAGAGCACTCGTCTGGGAATGTCCATGAGTCACTTGCATGTTTCAGTGGGAGAATTGACAGAGAAATCTTTGGCCGGCCAAGCGCAGCTACTTGAAGGTCAAGAAATGGCTATGCAAGGACTGACAGAGCTGCAACGATCTCAAGTGGAGGCCATAGAGGAGAGTCGAGCTTCAATTCAAAATCTTGCCACTGAGGCATTCAGGCATCAGCAGGAGTTTCGCAAATGGCAATCAGAGCTAGATGAAATGCATCGCCGACTTGCTAATGGTTCCACTGCCATGTTGAAAGCTCAGGCATGCACTCCAAACTTGTACTACATTCCAACTTTCTATCTGAGCACAAGGCCTTGTATCATCAGAAGTCTAGGTAGCCAATTTCTTCAATCGTCTTTGTCTTATTTGTCTGATTTCAGCATCTAGGCTTTTCCCTCTCAAACCGACGTGGTGGACATATGTACAACAACTGCAATCAGTCTGAGTTTGATCTGATTCGTGCAGGAGTCATTCGTATTAAAACAAGCAGCGGTATTCACAACGCTTGACAAGCTTTTCAATTTACACAACGATATTCTGCTGGAGTCTCGTACCATCAAAACTGCGCTCGTATATTTCTTAGGAGGGGTCTTCGTTTTCCTGGCCACTACCACCAAACACACCCAGAATGCCCGACTGGCCCTATATTTTGGTATGTATTTCTATTTGTTTCGTCGTACGATGAAGGTGCTTTGTTCGGTCGTAGTGTATCAATGTGCCACCTAATGCTTGCTTGTACGCCTGAGAACCCGCACTTTTAAGCACTCACCGAGAACAGTTTAGCCGGGTGGTTAGTTCTTTAAGTGTACAAAGGTCATTTTGACACATGAAATTGCTCCCAAGGCTTGACGAAACCCCACTTCACAGAAACATGGACGAGGATACTCTTATTCGTATCTACAGTATTTACCAAGTATTTGTACTTGTATTTGTGTTCCTCCAGTCCCAAGTATTTTCCTTGGGACTGGATGAACACAAATACACTGACCTAGACATCTCAGGCCCACGTTCTGTTGCCCGTGTAAGCCCTCCTTGTTCCTGGGCTTCCCTACTGGACTGAGGTTGTACCACTGCGTAGAGGGGCCTCGTACGTTCCCTAAGGGTGAGCGTTATTTGCCCCATTGCATCATATTCAGTCGTATGTTTCAGTTCTAGTCTTTGAATTTTAACTCAAATGTATGATCCCAGGATTGCTGTTGGCTTTGGGATTCGAGGCAACGTTGATTTGGAAGAAAGCAGAACGCGTACCAGAAGCTTTGCGCATCGTATGGCTGCAAGATAGAATTTTTTGGGTCCGGGGTGGATACGCAATCTTTGCTCTCGGCCTCCTTCTCTACACAGTTTTGAACTACAGGTTTGTAAGTGTTTACATAGATCCTATTCGATGTTCCCATCTGATTAACAAAATGCTCAGTAAACAGTTCACGCAACGACTTCTTGCGCCTGGTAGTTTATCAAGACCCTACATAAGCCCAAATCTTATATTTATCGAAGGTGGGATATCTGAATATCTCTAACGTTTGAAGGAGGGAAATTTTTTTTTAAAGTCACTGTACAACTCCCCTATCAAACTCCTGCGTTCACCATCCACTTTCACTATCTCAACAATGACTTTCTCGACCCTGAATAGGAAGAATATCAACCTCTCTCGAACCATTACGCGTGAGCGTGTCCGATCACGTCGAGGCAGAACTCCAACACGATCAAAACACGAGACCCAGAGACCAAGCGCCATCGTACAGAGCCAGAAATTTCCTCCAAGTTCTGAATTTGAAGACACTCCTGTGAAGACCTACATCATATTTACTACTATTCTGGTGATAATAGTTTTGCTCTTTGAGTGGGCAGGGACTATGACAGGCTGAACTATTACATGTTGAAAGACATTCAAGAAAACATCGCTGCTGGAAAGAACGGAGGAGATACTGCGTGCCGAGCTTGCCAACAAGGAAACGTTCTTCTAGCTCTTCCCCGCCGTCTTGCAGACCATGAAGGGGACATCGCAAAAAAACTTGTGCGTAAAGCAAGAACCCCACGAGCCTCGAGAATGCCCAGATCTTCCCCAGTTCAACCGGCGACAACTTCGACCCAGTGAGGTGCAGAACTAGAACCACTCACTCAGGTCCGAACTTATTGCATAGATTTCTCGTTTTGAAGATCGAATTTTACTTGCCAGCCCCAGAACTCAGCTGTGTCATTTTTACTCACTGCTTCTTTTTAACTTCTCCAGTGCTGAAGATAACCGCATATCTCTCCTATGTGGTGGATCACTGTGGGAAGATTAACTCTTCAATCTCAGGTGCATTCCTAAGTGCTCAAAACCTAAATGGCCGATCTAAACCACTCCACTGATTCTGTGCATCCTTGCTCTCAAGTGAATCACATGTGCTTCATCTAACTGTAAGCAATCGGCAAAAATATCGCAGGTGTGAGGCATGAAGAACTACCTCCAAGAGGTTCCAACAGAATAACGTTCCGCATACCCAGTAAACCTTACTCGACTGCTCCCGAGTGCGGATGTCACTAACACGACAGAAAGATTGCCCATCGAGGCTAGTTTCAGCATATATGGGTAGAAAATTCCTAGGTAATCTAGCCTGTAAAGTCTTCATTTTGAAAACTAAAACAGTAGAAGATAGTTGATAAGAGTGAACAATTTCTGATAGTATAAAACATCTCCTCGCTACTAACACCTTGTCAAATCTTTTGCAACTTCGGCAGCATATCCCTGCAGCAGCTAGGTATGAAAAGACTGCTCGTGATATTTCCACAGACATTCCCCATTTTCTTTCAAAATCTGCAAAACAAGATCTCAGCAAGTTTTTGTTGCACTTGCAAGTTCTGAGGTCGAAAATTCAAGTGAAAAATCACATGCCAAGTCTGAGAATTACATATTGCTCACCGCCCTAGACCATGAATTGTTGAAGTCGTGATGTGGCATCAACTATCCAAATAATCGACAGAGCAAATGTCCAATATTCAGTCTGTTCATGTACTTTGGTACCAAGGCTGATCTGACAATCAGCTAAATAAGACCGCGGCGAAGTTGCCCTTACTCCTCTAGATGTCCAAACTCTTCCTCCCAGTGCTCCGCCGCTGCTTGCTGACTCCGAAACTGCCATATATGCTCCCTTGTGACTTCGCGCTCTTTTAAAATCGCCTAATGAGTCACAAATAATAACTCAGTTAACAAAATTATGAGTAATTCAGATGTTCTGTCACACATATTCAATATTGAAAGCAGGAATCCATGCAAGTCTACAAACAAGATAATGTTCCAATCAAGGGAGAAACATCCGGACGCTCGTGACCTAATCCTACACTGCTATACCTCGACTTCAGAAGCAGGCCTCGTCTTCAACGAAATGCAGCTGAAAAGTTCTGTCCATTTCTCTTTACAGCTATCAAGTTCCCCCTCTCGGTAGTACTGCTTCACCTGAAACACTGGAGCTGCAGAACAACTTCCCGTGAACCTTCAAACGTGAGCCACTGGCCGAACCGTCAACTAAACGTCCCATATGAGCACCATTCTATTGTCAATTCCGTCCCGCTTTCGGCAAACCAAAATCTAGATGTAAGCGTACGAACAATATACAAGATGAGTGATCATGTTTTCACACAGGAGGATTGAACATTTGTCCTTTCGATCGCAACTGATCTATTGCCAAACATTACGGAGCTTACAGTAGCAAAACCAGAGTGCATCGATGCAGGGCGAGCAGGATAGAGACTTCTTGTCTTTCTTCACATCCTCCATCTCACATCTGTTTCTTTCGCTACTCCGCGATCAATTGCGGAATGATACGTGCTTTCGTCCTTTTGGAGATTTGCTTCGCATCTCTTCTTCCGTCCCTGTCAGATCGCGTGCTCACATAACAACAATCATAATCCAATTATGTTCCCGGAATTTCGAATTTTCCACTCAGTAAGGTTCCGTAGCTTGTCTCTCACTGCATTCCTGTACTTTACCGAGGATTACCAACTTATGCACATTAATTGACACCTTCAAAGTCCCGAAGAGCATAACAGTTTTGTAGTCTTTACACCATCGACAGACGTAGTTATAAGGCTTTGGTAATCGGGTTATCTTCAAATTTTTTAAGCAAAAGAGTTTATAAAAGTGGGAAAGTTTACCCGGGATGGATTGGGACAGGTTCAAAGATTTTGTTTGAACCATGTTTCATAGAAATTACATCTATATCAAATCAGCAAGTTAGGGAAAAGTGAAGAGTTTGCCGGGATGGTTTGGGACAGGTTTAGAGATTTTGCTTAAACCATGTTTCATAGGAATGACAACTATATCAAATTAGCAAGTTAAGGAATATTATCATTCTTGTGATGTGAATCTTCATCAATTTGTTTAAAAAAACCAGAACTAAATTATTTTCTAACTAATGATTTGATACTTCACATACAATATTCTCGGTGGCATATTTCATTTTTTTAAACTTAAAATAATTTTTAATATATCAATATATTTTGATTAATTGTTTTGTAAACAACCTACTCAAACTCAAACATAACTCTCTACATAATTAAATATTCATAAGTCTAATAAAATAAATTTATTTATTTATTTATTTATTTATTTCACTCCCACATGATCCACAATGGCTCTATTATAATTTTTTAACATATAATTCTCTATACTGTGAAATCCATAAATGTTGCATGTGAAACGCCAAACCTTTGATAATCTTCATTTTCACATCTTGCAATGCATTCATATTCTCTTCGTACTACTTTGTGGCTCACTATCATTTTCTGTATCAATGTGCTTGAGTTTTCGTCATTGTGACATTGCTTGAGTATTCATCGTTGTAACATTTATAATATCTTTTCATCACAAACTTGAGTTTTCATCATTTGTCTTCATCAATTTGCTTGATTTTTTATTCTTTTTGACATTGATTGAATATTCATCATTGTGAAATTGATGATCTTCTTACATCCTTCTTGCTATTCAATTAATGCTTCCAAAGTTTATTGCCAACATAATTATTAGATACTCTTGTTCAATTGGATGATAATTTTGCTTAGTTTTGACTTACTACCAAAAGAAAAATTTAACTAGATTAGTAGCCAACTTGATGCATCAATAAGTATCAAATTATCTGGGAATTTTTTTTTACAATATAACATTTTGCTTGAAAAAATTATGTAACATAAGTGTAAAATTATGTAACATTAAGACTTTAACAAGAAGAGCAAAATTATTCATCTTTATACAATAAGACTAGTTTTATAACATTGTTTAGTTGAGTTTGATGATACAATATTCTTCATTTTTAACTAGCTTTCATCTTCTCACTTATGGCTTGAATGCATTTTGCTATGATTTTATTATTCAATTAGCATACTTTTGACTTACCTAACTAACACATTCTTGAAGTTTTGGCATATAATTTATTCTTGTATAATGATTAAAATATTTCTTGTAAATATTTTTTATAATTGAAATTTTTATTATAAAAAACATATAGTCTAAAAAATGAATTATGAATTTATTTGGATAAAAAAACACATTTTATCAAGTTGATGAATGTAGCATATGTCTAAGTGAGATCAAAAAATATAACAACTTAAACCTTGAATATTGAATATTGTGAATGAAATCATCCGTATTTCAAATTTGATTTTGTACTCCATGTTAAAGGTTGATTTTGATCTTAAAGTTGGTCAAACAAGTCAATAATATCATATAATGAATACTTATTTGTAGTGATTGCTGATTTAATCGACAATAATTGATGTGACATAATTTCTTATTTCCATTTTTTTTCCTAATCATTATTAATTATCCGTAAGATGATGTGCTTGATTGAATGAATTCATGCGTATGCATAAAATGTAAAAAAAAGGAAATTTTTAAATTCATTATTTTGTACTCTACATGGATGATGTGCTCATTTGGCAAAGAATCAATTCAACTTTGAAAAATGCAAAAAATAAACTATAATGTGCATTTAGGGTGAAAAATTTTCATAAATTCAAGAAAATATTGGAGATGTATATTTATAAAGACTTGAAAAAGAGAAGACTATGATTGAGTTAAGTCAATTACATTCAACATATGACTGAAGTTATATTTATTTTTCTTGTACATTTTCCGTGACACGATTATATATATATATATATATATATATATATATATATATATATAAGTTAATTAAAACTTTCAATGACACAAGTTTTTTAAAAAAATTACACTGTCATGTATGAATGAAGTTATTTCTATTTTTTGGTGCATTTTCCGTGACATGTTAATCACTATATAAAAAGCTCTATCAAAATTTTCAATAACACAAAACTTTAAAAGATTTCAGCGTCTTGTGTGAGTGAAGTTATTTTCATTTTTCTTGTGCATTTGTCGTGACAAGTTTTTAACTATATAAAAAAAACGTATAAAAGCTCTCAATGACACAAAATTAAGAAATTGAATTAGAAAAACTTACATGCACAAAAGGTAATAAGGTTCATTATGTATTTACAATCTAGGATTTGTGTTTGCATTTTTTTCTTACAGTGATTGTACAATAATTTGAAGGTTTACGGTTAGTGTATATTAATAAATATAGAATACAACATAATAATATTTATGCAATTGATAGCACTAAATCCAACATATATCAAAGATGTAAAATTTGAAAATCTTGTATGATTTTAGAATTAAAAAATTTGTATACAATTTTATTTTGTCAATCATATTTATTTGCAAAAAAAATAATTTATGATATCACTAAAGATTAATTGTATAATCTCAATGGAAAAAATTATAATTTGAAGCATTATTCTCAGTTCATTTCAATTGTGTTGCTTGGAAAAATCGAATTGCATCACACCATCAATCAAACGTTTTTACTAACAACTTCAAGCTTATGCTTTTGCATGCTTGATGGGCAATCATATGTTTCAAATATATTCACAATAAGTATGTTGATATGTGATTATTTTTCAAATAATTGTGCATTTCATGTGCATGATCCTAACGGATCATGTACATGAAAACTGCCTGATACAATTAGCAAGATACACATTTCTTGTCACATGGTATGAATTTATAGGCATACAAATAATAATGGAGTAATCTAGATGATGTAAAGCTCTTGTTCCAATCAAGGGTAGATTTTGCTTCAATTTTTATATTTTTTGATAACTTTTATAAATATCACAATTTTCACAACATACTTGTTACATAGGAGCAAGAAGCACGTTCGTATACAATTTGCAAACCATCATAGTCAGCAAATTCAAGCAGCGGTATGTATTATATAGGAGCAAGTACTTGGAAGAGACTCCAAAGTCTTGGAACTATTAGTGTGAAAGAGAACTTAGTTTTGTAATCAAGTTACTCCACTGGAATAATCTTGAATTAATGTTTCAATAGTAGGTTTATCCGCTTTGAAATAAGCGACGAGGTCGTTTTTGTATTTTTCCTTTTTTCTTTTGTGTTAATTGAGCTGGTACGTAAACGTCGGATGAATACTATCAATTTGAATTACATTTTTTTTGGTATATGGATTATCTTATCGCCAACATTTAAAAATGATGCCCTAATATATCTTGTACTTCTTTGCAATATCCACTGTCCCCTTCCTTTCTTTCTGTTTTCCTCAGTTCTCTTTCTCTCTGCAATCCATCTCCAAGTAGGTATCTTTCTTGTTCGGATTGACTTTATTAATTCCAATATCTTGTTTTCTTTCTAGATCTAAGGCACTTCATCCCTTGTTGTCTGCTCTATTTCGCGGTCTCTAGCGGCCTATGAGACTTTCGAATAGATAAGTGAAGACTGCAGTTTACACTGGGTAAGGTAGAAGGGCCACTCTACAAGAATAAGAACCACCTGTTTCTTCACAGGCTTTGGCATTCAGTACCGAGGCAAGTTTTTTTGACATTACCATGTCACGCATGCAAGATGAGGCAAAATAACACACTGTGTTATAAGTTAATCGCAGCATGTATAACAACCTTACTTTTCTGTTTCGATCCGAGACCAGTCTTGCAAGCTCGTCAACATCATTGACACAATATTCTGAGAGTTAAAAGTAAAGCGATTCCTAGATGGTCATCCACCTCGGTCCCCAAGATCCTCGACACATAAGTTTTCCGACTCAAAGCAGTGAAACCAGTCCAAGATGGTGATCGACCTCAGTCTCCACAATGAAGGCTACGATGGTATCAGTAATTTCATATATATACAATTCCTGCGAGTATATTGGTAAACTTGATGGCTCCTGGTATACACTTACTATTCACAACTTCATCCTCATAAACACTCCCTCTTGAAACATTACCATGCTTCTCCAGAATCGACTCTTATAATGCCAATTCATAAAATCAATGAATTTGACCTGTCAAATCATGGTCTTATTCTGCCCACTCAGACCCATACATAACTGTTTTAAATCTTAAATGTACTGAAATATGGACTGATAATAAAAATCTTCCTGAGGATGGACATGATGAAGACAACACAAGATCTTCAAACCCCAACCTTCGAATAACACACCAAGAGATTTTAAGGTGGCCGTGGGCTGAAACTGACTGCAACCCTGTCTCGCCTTTCCGACAAGGGGCTACTGAGTGGCATACGATCCCAACTTCTTTCCTGCATCTCTTTGAAGCCACGTGCTGACCAGGGCTGAGTCTATGGTCACCTGAAAGCAAGTCCAGGAAGAAAACTGAGTTTCATAATGATATAATTGTTAGTCTAAAAGTCAGATCCCTCATGTATTTAGTTGTAAAACAAAACTTCTAAATAAAAGAGATTAGTTGCTAACATTTACTATGTACGATAGAAATTTGCTTCCGTGCCTAAAGAGTATTTAGTTTTCAAGTTAGAATCTCATGCTCAAGTTTGAATCATAAACAGTATTCATATGTTAGTCTCACAATGAAGAACACATCACAACACAAATCTTGCCACTATCAAAGTTTAAGATAATGGTCATACTTCTACAGCTTGTTTGTTGAAAAATGGGAGTAGAAATAAGACTCTAGTTGAATTGGATTAAGCAAGGCAGATTATGGCTAATCCGAGAGAGTCAATATGATCATTACGCAATTCTTTTTATAAATCTATATAATTCAAAAAGGTAAAAAGAATATAGCAAGAGCTTGATACTATGATGGAGTTTAACACTATGAATTATAGAGAAAGGACCCTTGAGATTGAGAGGATATTGAAACTCTATGGCTCACAGAAGTTTCACCAAAAACCTCAAACAGTCATGAGTATTTTTAAGATGAAATGTTTATGTTAAATCACAAGGTGATCAAGAGGCTATTTAAGAATCTGAATCATATTTACAATGACTAGAAGACATTTAGGCTAAGGATATCTGAAAAAACCAAAGGCGATGAGTAGTATCTGTATTTTATCTGATGCTAGACTGGAGTGGACAAAATGATATATCAAAAGTTGAAAGAAAAAACAATTGGCAACAAGATTGCACGTGCTGTTTATTAGTTCGGATTGACTCATACAATGATCATACGCATACATATGTTGAATAATCTCCATAAGAAGTTTCAGCTCATTGTGCTCGCTTGATGTTCTCCTTACTGAGCAAATGACTTGGCACTACATCTATAACGAAATGATCAATTTTGCTATAAAGTTTGAGATAGAAGTCAAAAAAGACAGAAAGAATTCAGTTACTGACAATTTAATAAAAATATATTCATAAAGATATATTCATAATTTATGTTTCTATGGAAAAGAATTCAGTTACTGACAATTTCCATATATTACTACCAATTTACTCTTAGGCTTAAGTACGGTTCAGCAACCATGAAGCAATCTAAGATTAGATTTTCAAGAGAGTTCTCATGCTCAAGTTTGAGATCTCTATAAACTGCTGCTGTCACATTATAAAGATACTGATCATAAATTCTAGTTTTGAATAGTTCAAAACTAGAGATGAAGTCAGTCTTGAGATTGAATTTCGACTTGAACATGTGGAAGAAGGCTATCCAGAGAATTTTATCCTAGTGTTGTTGTTCATAGCCGCATTGAACATGAAGATGAAAGGAGTGGTAGCAATGTATGGTTAAAATCTCAAAGTGTATAAAAACATCATGCAATGGTCTTGATACATCTAGTAAACATCTAGATCAACTCCGGATTAACAAAGAACAGAAATCATAAGTCAGTAAAATAGAGGAATACAGAATGTGGTTTGTCATTGACTTGCCTGGATGAGTTGAGCAGCAATGCAAGGCAGCAGAAGGAGACCAGCATTGCCAAACACTCCTCCCAGTCTGTCGATGACAGCAACCGCCACTATAATAGATTTCTGCAATTATACAGGTGAAATAATCACTCCATATTGACGAAGGTGTTATAAAAACTTGCAGTACGTATTCTCTGTCATAATCGTGTCTTACCTCACTCGAAACAATCAAAACTGCTCGTGAGTTAAAATCCTCGAAGACATCTTGTTTAGCGGAGGGCAGAGGCCAAACTTTCATCAAACCTGAATTTCCGATTAAGTACACAATGTGAAGGATCCTGCAATGTAACAAGAGAAGGCTAATGTGAGCAGCAAAATGTTAGGACTTTAAACAGACCTGACATTTCATCTAGAAGGATGGTGAGCGTGCACCGTTGGAGAAGCAATTTCTACAACTTAATTTTAAACTTTTGCATTGAAAGATTCAGCAAGAAGACATGTCAGAAAAATATCATTAGTTTCTTCAATGAGGAAATTGTCTGAAAAGGCAACGAATGATAGAAGCCTCACGAGCCAGCGGCAATAGAAATAAACAAGTCCAGCGGTCCAATCTGGTGCAGCATGCATCTGGAGTTACTCATTTGCATCCATGGCACCTGCACAGTCCACCGTCCCAAATTGCAAATATTCATGACAGAATTTTTCAGATTACGATCAGAAACGGTTATAAAGTTCCTTAAGGACGATAATGAAGGGCAGATTTCTCTTTAACCGAAAACCTCATTGAGCTAGTTTAAAACTCATAGATGAAGTAAGGGAAGGTTCAAAATTCGTACAAGGCTCATGAGAAGAGTCGTGATTTTCGACAGATATTTCCTCTTACTATCCATTAGCTTTCCCAAATCTGCAAGGTCAGCATACTTAAAACGTCAGGAAGCAATTCCTCAGTTGTATGGGCCGTTTCAGCTCCTGCGCCAGTTAACGATAAGAGGCTGAGCTCGAATTCGAGTAACTGTCTCACTTTATTTCATGCTGAAGTTTGTACCTGTGTCATCCTGAGAATATGCCTGTTCTTTCAAACACTTCTGCTCTAACGTGTGCCCGGCCCTAGGCATATATACACGGTGTATTTCAGTGTGTCTAGAACAATGATCGTGCATGTGTTGTGGATGATCGATTCAGCACATAGAAAGAGGACTGAGCGATCTTCAGGATTGATGCAGCAGAAAGAGTCCAGGACCGTAGGAATTCACAAACGACGCAGAATCTTTCTTCCAATCCAAACCTCAAGGGATCAGGAAAAAGGCAATAGTATGTTGCAAATTTAGTCAGAAGTAAAAGGCCAGTCAGGAAGGTTCACTGATCAGTTAGAAAACAACATGAAGCCGCAGAGTGGAATTTACTGGAAATGTCTAATCGAAGTAGTACGGTTCCAGGCAGGACTAAACAGACACCTAACAATATCCAAGAATCCTTACCAGGGAAGGTCTCCCGCACAATCTGATTCAAGGTGCACCAAGTCATAATCAAAATGAAAACAAAATAAATTGTCTTCCAAATAAGACAAGCTTTTGCGCGTTTGTCTTACTAGAACACTAGTGCAGCAGCTAGTTGACGAATGCTCATAGTTCAAGTGCATGTATCAAGGCTTCAACCTTGTGGTGCACGTGCTCTATTCAACCAATGAAACTTAGACAAGAGCAGAACGACAAACCAATATTGTATTGTGCATGTGCATCAAACCCAAAAGCGTTGTGATGGATGATGCATAACGTACCTTGCCCAAGATAAGTGGAAGCAAGAGAGTTTGGATCAAGCTCTTTAGAAGTGGTCCAGGTGGAATGGAAACACCAATGCCTTGGCCGACAATTCCCGTAAGAAAGAACGGCATCTGTCAGCAAATCAAGATTTTCAGTTTCCTGAATGCGAATTTTTGAACCTGAGTCTTAAAGCTCACTAATTGATGGATAGACAATCTGATGTACATCAATGACCCCTTGCAAATGTAGGAAGGCCTCAGCGAGCCATCCAGAACAAAATATCATACTCTAATACACGCGGTCTATTTTCGAAAATAACTTGACCAGAAACTAGTGGTAAGCAAGTCCCAGGGAGAGGAAGGCTCACTGTGACAACGCTGAAGAGGTTGGAAAAAACCGTTAATCCCAATGCCAAACCGATATTGGCTCCGGCTATCTACTTCATAAACTTTCAGTATGTCAGCCTAGAAAGCGATGTAAATAGGACACAACTTAGTGACTGCAAGCCTGGCTCATCTCTCCGAATCTGCCCAAACCAAGTTTAGTACATGAGAGGGTACGCATACAAAGCCAAAAGCTGGTATAGAAACAAGAAATAGGGAGTAGGGAAGACAAAACAAAAATCTTTCCTTTTTAAAACATCTGAAGGAATTCATCGACGAGAGGTAAAGCACACTGAAACTTTGATAAGACTGCAGAAGGAAAAGCACCTGTGTCAATGCGACACCACTGGAAAGGGTGGTGGGAACACTGGCAAATATTGCCAGACCTGCACAAGAACAAAAGTGAAGGGTAATTCACTGAAAATGCCCTAGACGGACAGAAAATTAGATGCTGCGAAAACGCTAGGAACTCAAATGCAGATATTAAGAAGCGACAGAAAATAAGACGCACGTAGGACACATCGACGTATCTAAACATCGTTAGATAGATAATCGCCGTATAGCGGTATTGAAGACTGCATCGTCATGATCCAGTCAACGAAGAGCACACCTGTAGCAAGTTCTCGAGGTGTTATTGGCAGCCATAAGATTGGAATGGCCGCTAGCGGGGTAAGGAGCAGAATAGAAATCTGCAAGGTAAGGGAAGCATTATAGAATGAGAATGTTATGAACCAGGTTTCATAAAGAGTTGCTGATCTGAATTGCGAGCGGCCAGTAACATCATGAAGGAATTACCATGCCAAACAATCCTGCAGGCCATGCCGATGCTGCTTTCTCAACATCTTTACTTCCTGAAGTCAATCCTGTGTAAGATAAGAGACAAGAGAACAGTTGCTATCATCGACAATTAAGTAACAAATTATAGAGGACTCAGTGTAATTGCTTATCAACGAAGACTTGGATTTGACTATAACAAAAGCGCCCAAAAACTAGGAGTCCACAAAGACATCGAAGTCCTGATTTTCAGTATTAATACAATTCTACATAGTAACATCTGAAATTATGATTCCTTAGTAATCTGCGCGTTAGGAGAGTATTATTTCTTTAACTGTCTTCACACCTGTGATTCAGGAAAATTTGGATACCGACCAACGACTGCTGAATTCGATACAGAGCTCTTTGTCGAGTACAAACTATGGTGTCAATGCGGTTGGTATACTAAGAGAATGTACCAAAGAGCAGGAAAAAGGTCGTCGTGACCCACTTAGAAATGCCCATTCGATGAAGAGCTTGACCAGGAGCTGGCCAAGTTAAACCCAGAAGCATTGCACCTAGAAGAGCTGGAAGAGGAATAACCACAAAGTCGTAACTTCAGTCAACGTTCACATCTGACAGTCATGAATCGAGCTAAACTCATAAAAAGTGTTTCCAGTCAGAAATTTCGATAATAGTCCTTTACACAAATGTTGAATGTTTCACCTACCTACGGGGAGAAAGTTTGAGTCCACAAACTGTGTAAGTGCTTGGAACAAATGCACTTTGTCCTCTTTTCTAATGTCGACTTCCGAGACATTCTGAACAATACAGAATAGACTCACTTGTTAATTCCAACTTAATTTTCCTAATTAACTACTACCCCAGCAAACGCAATTATGAAGCCTCTTCTTAATTTTGATAAAAAGACTGTGCTATGCCAAGACTATGTATCTCGGAAAATCACAATGGCCTCATATAATCCAGAGGAAACTGTCACCAAAGTAACGCAACTGACAAGGATTGGTCTGACGAACTTAATTGCACCCTCAAGACCATGAATCGACATAAGGCTTCATCGTATAACTTGACAGCCATGTGCAAGAAACAGTGACTAACGATCAAGACTTGCGCTCATTCATTATTACATTGTTGCACAAGAGCTGTTGGCAATTAACTGGAAATTGCTTATAACAGGTAGGCAAAAAACATTGAATTATGGCTGCGAAGGGTGGATTTAGATAAGATAAGAACTTCAGAGGTCGACAGATACAATTTCTAGCTTCCTATGAGCAAAAGCACCTGAGAATCTGGGCCTGCAGGGAATGGAGAATTGATTTGAAGGAAATTCCCATCTGGAGCGGTGTTATTCGTTGAAAAGTTGGAATCATCTGCCGCCTGGACAGGTCTGTACTGATAACGTCCAGTCCAATGCCTTTGTTGACGTCCAACCAACAAAGGTCCGCATTCTTTCGATAGACGGCGCTTCGCATTGCTAAAAGAATGTGTAAGAAAGCAGTGAGGAGGTTTCCAACAACCTAAGCCCCGAATGGATGAGAGGCCACAGAGCGGGGTGGGAAATTTTAAGCAGCGCATATGTTGATCGACCGAGCACGCACTTGATACGAGCAGCACAACCTCCATTCTAGATCTTCCTTCGACGACTATCGGCACCAGAATAGTTCGGAAACTCCGTCAGGCCATCACGTCGTATATATTCACCCGGATTCCAAAGAGTCCACTCAAATTTGAAGAGATGGGTGATGCCTTTGGAGGCCAAGCAAGTGTGCGACTGGCTGTCTATCGAATCTAGATGGTCTGTCAAAACGAATCTTTTTTAGATCCGAACGTGACTGCCAAAAGCAATCTCAACTGAAGTTCTCTGCCATGGACAGAAGGAGTAGGAACAGCTGAGGTCCAAAATAAACCATCAAATCCATCTGCTAATATTTCTCCTGATGTCTTTGTCAAAGGAAAAGACAAATACAGAAACCCTGGGCTCCCGGCTGACGTTTCAGTCAGGGTGAAACTCGCCTAAAAAGAGATCTTTGACTACCAAGTTTCTCAGATCGCCAAGAATCAGGGAGAGCTCTTGCTCCTCCAGGTCTGCGTATGATGGTACAGTAAGTTGCGGCTCGTCCACATGTTTTTGATCAGCACAAGCACCTCGAAATGTCAACTGCACACCGGCCACAGTATGTGATCATGCTCGTCTTGAAACAGGAATCTTCCTTTTCAATACCATCAGTCTTGCTTTTCACCCTTTTCACAGCGTCTTCTTATCTCTCGCGATGTTTCTCAGTCTGTCGATCGTTGCTTTCAGACGTTCAATCAATCACTAAACCTAGAGTTCACTTTCTTGCATATTTGTAATGATTATTCGTTCACAACTTCATTCAGTCTTGTCGTCTTTCTAGATATTGATCTTCACACCAATGGCAAGAATACATACACGGGCCTGTCCTTTGGCTGTCGTTGGGAGTGAAAGTAGGCTCTTAGGCCCTATCCCCAGTTTTGGAAAGATGAAAAGCTCGCCATAACGCACGGAAAAAGTATGTCTGGTACCCACCTACAGGGATGTTGCAAAAGCAAGAACCTGCGGCATTACGGCTTTTCCTCCAGAGAAATTTTCCTCTCGTTCACCTGCAGAGAATCTTTCTCCAGAGAGCGAGTTAGCATCAACCCTCCTATGTCAGTTTGCTTGCCGGCTTAGGATTCAATGGCCAGATGGTTTTATTACCTTGTTTCCTTAGCTCTGGAGAGAGCATGTAGAAAGCTTCATAGTGAGTTTACATTTTGATGTTTATAATAAGGATATGTCAAATTTTGACATGTATTTCGTTATGATAATATAATAGAATGTTGTTTGGTTTATAGTATCAGATGGATGTGATAGGAAACCTATCATCATAATCACCATTTTTAATAAAGTAGGTATAGCTCTTAACAGAAAATTTATTTATTTTTAGGGGAAAAAACTTTTGCACAATTCCATATATTTTTTGGATCAGAAATATTATTAATGTAAGATTATATGAACAAGGGAAGCCCAGCATTTACACAATCATAAACAACTTATACATGCATAACTCATGGCAAAGCAATTTTGAATCAAACTATCTTAAATTACATTGTTCTTGGTTTGATAAATCCTTAATTGCATGTCGAGGAAAAATCGCGCAGTGCCAGTAGAAAGTCGAGAAAAAATTGAAAATCATTTTTTAGAAGCTAAAAGAAGTTAATATACACAAAAGATGGTTGATCGAAAACTCTAATCTTAGTATCATTCGAGGTATTATGGCTAACTTTCTGCCCCTTAACACATGTGGGGGATAGCAAACTCTTTAACCTATATAATTATTCTGTGGGAATCCAAAAAAAAAACCTAATAAAAAGCTACTCTTTAAACTAAAGTGTATCCAGACCTTGATGGAATAAAAATATATAGAATAAACTAAAATGCTACTAAACTTTACTGGTGTTACTCACGCAAAACCTGCATAGTATCATAATGAAATCAAAATCCGCCAAAGGAATAATTTTGGTGATTGCATCAACTGGATTAAATTTATTGTCAATCTTGACTAATTCAATTTTTGTATCAAAAGTTTTATAATTTTTAAAATAAATATGATATTGATATTCTTCACTATGTATCCATCACTTGATTTGCAGCAAGATGTAATGCATTTTGATTATCACAATGAAGATAGACAACCTCGTGTTTCAAATCCATCTAAGAAAGAATATTATCTAATTAAATAGTTTTCTATACTACTTCTATTGTTGTTACATGATTAGCTTCAATTGTAAACTAAACTAAACATTTGTTTCAAGTAGAAAGAAATGATGGATGCATTAGTTGAAGAATCTCCAACAAATGCATCTATTATCAATTGTAGATATACTTTAATCCAAATCTTGTACATAATCAGCATCAACGTAATCTAACAAAGATTTGACATTGTTTAATTAACCATCAAACAGTAAATCATAATTTTTAGTACTCTTCAAATACCTGAAAATTCATCGTATTACTTTCCAATGCATCTTTTCTATATTTGACACATACATATTCATCGTTAGAGCAATATCAAGTCTTGTGCACATCAACAAATACATGATTCAGCTCACAGCTTTGTTATAGTAAACATATGACATCTTTCTTCTTTCAATGTCATTGATTGAATACTAAACTACAAAAAGTTTGAAATATGTTGCCAAAGAAATCTATACTTTTTGAAAATCTATCATGTTAAATATATTAAATATACATTGAACATACTTGCATTGATTCAATCATGGTTTGGTTTTTTATCAAATCGTTATAAAATTTTATTTCTAATATTGTATTTGATTTAGTTAAATCCTTCATCTTGAATGTATAGTTCAAATTTTTTTTGTATCCATCAACATCAAATTGATTTTTTGTCAAGATGAGCATGTTATTCGCGTAAAGTATTAAAATAATAAGAATAAATAATTCATTATTCATCTTTTTTATGTATACACAAGGATCATACACACTTTGTGAAAAATCTTGTGCTTTTATAAACTCATCAAATTGTGCATTTCACTGTGTAGTAGTTTGTTTCAATACATATGACAATTTCATCAATCTACAAATCAACTTATCTTGACTTCTTTTCTCAAAACCAACTAGTTATCTCATATAGATTTTCTACTGTAAAATTCCATAGAAAAAATATTGTAACTACGTTCATCTAATTCGTAACAAGAGTAAATAAAGAAAAAAATGCACACATCAGACGAATTGTTGCATATTTTGCTATAGTAGAAAAAACTTTGTTATAATTCACATTTTTCTCTTGGGTAAAACTTGTGGCCACCAGCATAGCTTTCAACATAATCTTTTACTCATCAGCTGGATTATACTTTAGCTTGTACATTCACTTGCAATCAATCAAAGCTTGATTTTTTTGACAGTTTCACGAACTCTCAAGTCTTGTTATCTACTAGCAATTGCATCTCACGCAACAACCAGCATTTCATTCAAGCTCATTGATAAAGTCTTGAGCTTCTACTTCTTCCAAGATTAACGCAATGCCATCACCATACTCAAAAGTGATGTCACAATATTCAAGAATGTACGAATAAGCTCATAATTCATACATTGCAAAAGCTCTACTTATCCGATTTGATAATCTTCTAATTAAAGATTCTGATTGATCTCTATTGTCAAGTGCAATTACTTGAGCATCAGCAACAATAACCTATTTTTTTATTTCATGTACCTCAAAAATTTGCTCCATATGTACCTAATACTCTCCTTGTATTGTATCATCAATCTCATAATGATCAATTTACTCCCCAACAACATTCGTGAATGGAAACTTTTTCTTGTCAATACAAGGAGTCTAAGAACACTCACTCTCTTTCAATGATCTGAATTTATTGAAAAAAAAAAACTTCTATTGACAATTACTTTACATGATATTGGATACTAGAGCTTATAACCCTTCACATCACTTACATATCTAAAAAAAACTACACTTCTTGGATGTAGGATCTAACTTGGTATTGTATTACTTTGATATGAAAGAATAAGTTGTACAACTAAAAAATTTCAAAAGATTATAATGAATCATCCGTTTGTGACTCAATTCAAAAAGTCAAGATTTTGATTGCACTAAAAGTAGAAAGTTCTACTAATTACAATGCAATAACATTGTATTTGATAGTTTCAATTTAAAATTCATATGATATACCTGATTGCTCAACATGCTACACACTTTCTTCAACATGATTTGATTGAGCATTTCATAAACAACATTTTTTTGTAGAGTATAGATTATGATGAGATGACGAGTAATTTACTTCTCTTTGCAGTAAGTTCAAAACTACTCAAAATTATACTCCTTGCCATTATGTGAACGTAAATATCTCACCTTATTTCTAGTGTGAGTCTCATTTAGACATACCAATTTTTGAAAGTTATAAATAACTCAAAGTTATATGTGAGAAAATAAACTCACACAAGATTTGAATAATCATAAATACATAGTAAACATTTCAAAAGTATTAAGGTTTTAGGATTAAAACCTCACACGTTATTATGTACATAGTTAAATAATTCCTTGGAAATATGAATTCTAACAACATAAGCTTGACTATGATGTTTGGTCATGATATAATATTTGCAAAACTCCAAGTCAACTTTATCAATGTCAGTCAATTTTCTTAATTCATATAATTCATATACCTATTATTCAAAGTGTCATAGCCTAGAATATCACACATGAGAGATTTCAACTCAAGATTAAGTTAAGTGAATTTTGACATTGATGATATTGTACTTTAGCAAGTATAGATTGTTGTGCTTACAACCTCTAGAAATAATCTTGTCCTTTACTCTAACCTCAATCACTTCTTTTTTAGAGCTTCATTCAAGATCTAACATCCCAAGAAAGATCAAATTGAAATTCATGTCAGATTTAAAATTTAACGTGAATCAATGTATGTTAAATTCCATCAAACATGCAAATTTTTATAGATCCAAAACCTTTAATCTTAGGGATTGATATTAAGACAGTATAAATGAACTTTCTAACATAACAAATGTAATGAGATCAAGCATTATCTAAAATTCATACATCATCAACAATCTTGATGAACTGCATAGTACATACTTCTAGCATTATAATCTAACTTCTAGCAAGTCATACTCCTCAAGATCAAAGTCTTGAGCCACATTAGCTAATGAAGTATCAGCATCCTTGATCTTCATGTGGTTGTATTTCTTGAAATGGCCACTCTTGCCGTATCATCAACTGTTCACCGTCTATCTTTTAGGTATTCATGTCTGGACTTTGATCCAAAACGTTTACTATCCTTATCATTTCTTGAACATGACGGATCTTGATTCACATTTAGTGCCCTATTGTACAAAAACATGGGGTAGATGAAATTATTTTCTTCTCTTGTAAGTCATTAGTGAGCAGAGCACAAACAATCTTGTTAAAACTGATTATATATTTATCACAATGAAGCAATACACGTGATAGTGACTTGTAAGATGCAAGAAGTGAACTCAGAAGATAAAGAGATGTACTATCATCAATGATCTTCTCTTCAAGATTTTGTGGATCGATCACAATATCATCAAATGCATCAATGTGATTTTGTATTTTTTGTGCCAAAATCTTTCATCTTGAAAATCATGAGCTGCAAGGAGTCATATAACTTCTTTGATAACTCTTTGCAATGAAAACTTTGTGCAAGAGACATTTGTCATACTTATATATTTGCAAACAAAGTATGATTATACTCAGTGCTTGTTTCTTGTTGTTATCTTTCTAATT